CCATCTCAGATCAACAACTGTCCCTCACCTTGAGGTTAAAATTGGGAAAGCCGACACTTACCTACAGTGAATGCCCTGTGGGCCCCTTTCAAGAAAAAGGCTAGAAGCAGATCAACTCCATCATCATCAAACTTAATTTTATAATATGTTTCCAGATAGGTAGCCTGGTAGCCTGGCCCCTACCTTGTTATGCCTCTTTGTCAGCTGCTCTTCCTTGTCCCGACCTGCTCCACATTTTATCTTTATGCAGATTGCAACATGCTTAAAAAGTGGGGCAGCTGCCTAGTACAAGGGCAGCCTGAGCCATGCCTAGAGGGACCTATAGTGGAAGAGTGGATCAGTTCACCAGCTTAAACCACTTTGGCATGCAGCTGTTTTGCAAATCAGCCTCCCGTGTCCTGGAAAGACTCCACATGAAGACAAATTCTGGCAGAGTCCCTGCCTGGGCAAAGAACCAGAGTGCAAGAATCTTTTACCCAACTCTGCATGATCCAAATGTGTATGGAAGGACATTTAGAGGTGAGACAGTAAGCAGATAGGAAGGAAGGAAGACCAAGAGGGCTGAAGGAGGCTGCCCCCCCCACCTCCCAGTGGTCAGTGGTAGCCCCATGGGTGATCTGCCTCTGCTTTGAACTGACTCAGCATTGCCACTCATGGGGGCAGCAGAGAGAGGGGGATGAGGGGCTCTGACTTGTAGGAGAGCAGCGGCTGGAGGCACAGAGAGGGTCACCAAGTGGGAGGTAGCCAGGAAGAAGGGAGTGCCATCTCAGAAAGGGTAGGGTTGAAGGTAGCACAGGACAACGCATACTCAGAAAATCCACATACACAGGAAACAGAGAGACACAACACAAGGGAAGCACAAACCAACACACAAACACAGAGGCAAGATGTTACTTTATTACACACAGTACCTACTAGGAAAGGCATAGAAAAGATCACAGAAGCCACGTGGTGTGTGCTTTCCCTAACTTGTATAACAGTTTCATAACAATTGTTGGGGAAATCTCTGGGTGTTACATCAACAGTTGCCTAATATTCATGGGCTACATTTCTGGGCAAGAAGAATGCACAGCCCCTTCTCATCTGCTAAAGAAGGAGGGAAGTGGATCCTGGTCTCCTCAATCCATTTAATGACAAAGCCAGCCTGTCTCACTGCCTCTTCTATCACCTCCTTCTCCAAGTAGAGGGTAGAGAACTTGCGTTGGCCAACCATGTAGTAATACTCTTCAATCGTTGAATGAAAGAGAAGGTGCCCCCCTGGTTTCAGAAGAGAACTGATGTTCCTGAAGGCTGTTCNGGGGGGGGAAGAAAGGAGGAGTATGACCTGCCTACCTCCAAACCTTTGTCAACCTAGAGTTGCCCTTCTTTTTATGGATGGAGACAGGGCGGGGCAAGAAAAGGAAAGCCCTTCTCTCTGCAAGAATTCCTTCTTGCCTGAATTCAAATATCAGTTGGGGACCTGGAAGGTCTAGAACAGTGTTTCTCAGCCTTGGCAACTCTTAAGATGTTGGGGTTCTAGCTCCAAGAATTCCCCAGCCAACACAAGGAGCACAGGATTAGGGTTGGGTCCCCATGTAGCTGCCACCATGGTCATCAATCTTTGTATTGGCACCACATACCTCACAGATGCAGAGGGTGCTATACATTATTTCAATAAATTAAAAAAAGAGCCACGTGTGACTATGTCATCATAAATATACCATTATTTATGTCCCTGGATAAAAGGTTGGGATGCAAAAAGATAATGGCAGCCTTTATGTGATGATGTCTCCTGTCTGGCATCCTAGGGTTGCTATGGAAATGGTCAATTTGTATGTTCAGTTAATTCATTCCTAAGCAGCACATGGATTCCCACTGCCTTTCTGCAGTTGGAACTGGCAGGAGAAGAACCACTCAGGCTCAAAGAAGATATGGACCATTGAGCAGGAAATGACCCTGCAGATCTTCTGAAGCACTGCAGAAGAATTGAAACAGAGACTGAGCTTGGAACAACTGGATCTCCATTTCTCATTTGCTCAGGAGACATAGTGGACTTTGCTTTGCTAGCGCAATGGGCACATGTAAATCAGCAGTGGCTAGCAAAGCTTTCTGAGAGAGAGAGTCTACTTGGGTTCTTCAATGTGGACTCTTCGGATCTGCACAATTATTCTCCTGTTAAGTTCCTGATGCAAAATCTCTCCTGCTACATTTTCATAGATGGACAGATAAGGTAAAGTTGGAAGAAGAGTTCCTGATTGCTTTCTTTGGCTAAGACTAAATTAATCTGCATCTTAAAGTCTTTCAAACAAAAAGATTTATTCTCCTTCTACCTACCTGTCTCCCTCCAACTCACAGACGTATTTGACAATGGGCGTCCAGTCGAAAGACCCAGGTTCCCTCTTCAGCCATCGCTGCACCTCCTCCCGGTTCTGGTCAGTGTAATCGGTGGCTATGATCTCCCGGAAGGACTCGCAGGCAGAGAGGAACTGGTGGATGGTTGGGCCGGTGCCAATGTTGATCAGGGTATCTCCCTTGATGCCATCTGCAGCCCATCAAACCAAATGTAGAGTTTTTGAAGCTCAGTCTGCTTTGGGTCCTTCACATCTGCTATTCCTCACACTGTTGCCTATTTTGCCCATCTAAGCTGCCTCAGAAGCACATGAAACCCTTCAAAGAGCATCCTGGAGACCACCTTACCATTTGGCAACCCCTTGTCTTCTTAGCATTCCCATGAACCTATTTCCAACCAACCTGTTTGCTCATTTCACAAGAAGAAGTACACACATGTGAAAACTTTTGTCCACAAGCCAATTGCTTGGGTTTCATTTCCATATCTGTCTATAAACTGTTTCAAGTTCTCCCCTCTGGACTCCGCTATAGGTCATTGCATGCCAAAACAATTAGACATATAGTTTTTTCCCCATGCCATCTTTCAGTTGAACACCTAATTTCCACAGCACTGTCTTAGGCCTAAAGATATTTGCCCATGTAGTAGGCTGTATTATCTTTCTCACCTTTCTCATTTTCTCATCTTTCTCATATTTCCTAATACCTTCTCCTATTGGTATGTGTGATTTAGCACCTGATGTTGTATCTTATGATTAATAATTGTAACTATGATTTATGTTCTATGACCTATCACCTTGTTGTTTATATGTACACTGAGAGCTATGCACCGGAGACTCGACTCCTATTCTATTCTATTCTATTCTATTCTATTCTATTCTATTCTATTCTATTCTATTCTATTCTATTCTATTCTATTCCATTCCATTCCATTCCATTCTATGAAAGGTCAAATAATGTTTGTGACCATTTTGGCATCTGCCTTTTGTAAGCTACTTCCACTTTGTGACTGTTTGTACCCTGAAGAGAACATCTAAGTGGTGCAGGCTATAATGAGCAAATTGTGAATATAACAGAGTTGTCAACGCTGATAACATCGGATGTTTTTGCATTGACAGCAGATGGAAATATAGCCATCTTTTCCCTTTCACTTTTAGAGTTAGATGATGCTGGGAGGAGGGATGTAACAACACTAAATGTAGGGTGAGAATCAAGGCTATTGAGCCCAGAGCTGATAAAGAATTGGTGGGCTGGAGAGCTGGAGAAGAAGCCCGTGCTTCAAGCTAATTGGGGAATGTGATTTATGACGGTTAATTGGAGGAGGGAATTGTGCTTTGATACTATGTGCCCAGGGGAGGGGAATTCAGTTTTTGGCTTAATATTATGGTTCCAACAGATGAAACTCTTCAAAGAACTTTGAGGCATTGTTTACCTTAAAGAGTCTTTTATTCGAATTAAACTGGAGACACTATTTAGAAGTGAGCAAGTTGCCTTTTGAAGTATGGAGTGATCACAAAAATCTAGAAGCACTGAAAACTCCCTGCAAATTGTCTCTGAAACAAATGCGATGGAGGAAAAAACCTCTAAGCTAATGCTCTATCCAGACTGCCCCAGTACAAAAGCCAGCATCAACAGGTTAATGAGGCAATTATCTCCAATCCACAAACAGCTTCTCAACTCACACTGTGCAGAGTCCCACCTTCAAGAGTCCCTAACCCTGATGACCCTGGGGCAAAGAAAATAAAACAAGAGTTCCTCACCGACCAATGATTCAAAGATAATCAAACCTCCCTAACATGCAGGGATGGTTTGGCTTGGAAGGGGGGAAAGCTATAATTGCCAGAGACCCTCCACCTTAATGCTCTCCGACATGGACATGACGTAAAACAGGCTGGGCACTTTGGATATTTAAAAACACTAAACCTCATCCGCCAGCAATTATCATTGCTAGGAAGGATTTCGGCAATTAAAATGAATGTTCTACCAAAATTTTTATACCTCTTTCAAACAGCTCCAATACAATTGGGGAATTTTTTTTTTTGATGAATTGAATAAAATGATTAATAAATTTATATGGCAAGGTAAAAAAGCACAAATAAATGTTAAAGCGTTACAGGATAGTAGAAGTAGAGGTGGCCTTGGACTCCCAAAATGGGAAATTTACTATCAAGCAGCGGGATTGCTTTGGATCAGTGACTGGATAAACCTAGAAAACAAAAGAGTCTTAACAATTGAAGGTCATGATTTACAGGCTGGATGGCATGCTTTTCTATGGGGAAAAGATAAGAAAACCCATACATATTTCCTCCGACATCAGATAAGGGATGCATTAATTTGGATATGGGAAAAAGTAAAAAAAATATTATATGAAAATTCCAATTTGGACCTCATCAATGGAGGCGATGATCCATCCAAGCACATTAGATAAAACAAAGATGATAAGGTACAAAGAATTATTAGACAATCAAGGGAAGCTAAGATCAAGAGATGAATTAAAAGAATAGGGAATAACTATTGATTGGTGGCTATATACACAGATAAAATCAAAATATAATAAGGATGTGGAGGAGTATGGGATATGTTGGACATTACAACAATTGGATAAAATATTGACAAATAAGGGAGAAAAATTCTTAACAAAAACTTATAAACTCCTATTAGAAATTGAATTGGAAGAAGAAATAGTAAAGGGCCCGATGATAGCATGGGCCCAAAACATAGGTAGAAATATAGGATTAGAGGAATGGGAAAGAACATGGAACATAAATTACAAATTAACGTTGTCAACTGCATACAAGGAAAACCAATACAAAATGTTCTACAGATGGCATTTAGCACCGGCGAGTTTGGCTAAAATATACAAAAATATGAATCCGGATTGTTGGAAATGTAAAAACAAAGAAGGAACATTTTATCATATGTGGTGGCAATGCCCCAAAGCAAAGCCTATTGGGAGCAGATTAGGAGATGGTTACAGGAAATAACAAAACAGCAAATTGAACTCAAACCTGAAATATTTTTATTAGGTATAATTAACCCAAAAATAAAGAAACAACTCCAATACATCATTATACATATTATAACTGCAGCACGCATTGCATATGCACAATGTTGGAAAAGGGAGAACATACCAACAAATGCAATGATTGTATGTAAGATATTAGACTGTGCTGAGATGAACAAACTTTCCTTAGAAATAAAAGACAAAGAAGCTACAGAATTTTACGAGGTATGGGACATGTATTATAACTGGCTAGAATTGCGGAATAGAAATGTATGAGGAGTAATGTAAATAAATGTAAATAAACTTAAGCGATATAGGACATAGTATTGTTAAGGGAAAAGAAAAAAATGTATTGTGTATTATGTTTGTTTGTTAAAAAAAGGAAAAATAAAAATAAAAAATAAAATAAAAAAAATAAAAACACTAAACCTTGTCTGCCGGCAATTCTGGTGGCTGGCATTGAAATGGGATGTGGAAAGCTATGTCCGGAGCTGTGCTGTTTGTGCTACCATGATAAGAATTCCAGGGAAAACCCCTGGGTTATTGCAAACGGTGGCAGACCCTTCCCAACCATGGAAAGAAATTGCTATGGATTTTATAATAGATCTATCTGAAAGTAGACAAAATACAGTCATCTGGACATCTACCGGCTGCATGGTGCACCTAAACAAATAATTTTGGACAGAGGGGTGCAGTTCATAGCTAGGTTTTGGAGAAGTTTTCTTAAACTAATTGGCTCATCTCAAGGTCTATCATCTGTTTTTCACCCGTCTACTAATGGGGCGGCTGAATCCGCGAACTCAATGGTGGAGCAATATCTCAGATGCTATGTTAACTACCAACAAATGAACTGGACTGACCTCCTCCCTTTCACAGAGGTGGCTAACAATAACTCTGTTCACAGCAGCACCGGCTTCACGCTTTTTAAAGTGGCTATAGGGAAAGAGTTCAGCCCAATACCTAAATACCCCCAGGTGCCCTCCGCTTCACAAACACTTGATCAATGGGTGAGGAGGTGGGAAGAAGTTTGGAAAACCATGAAAACTGCTTTAAAAAAGGCTTCCGAGACATATAAAAAGCAGGCAGATTTTAAAAAGGGTTCCTCAAAGAACATTCCAAGTTGGGGAAAAGGTTTATCTGTCAACTAATATTTACGGCTCAAATTACCTAGTAAGAAGTTAGGACAGAAGTTCTTGGGACCTTTCCCCATTGTAAAGATCATTAACCCAGTCACAGTGGAATTAAAACTCCCTAAGCTCTTAGGAAAAGTTCACCCTGTTTTCCATTACAGCTTGTTGAAACCTAATCGGGGTTCCACTTTAAGACCTCCCCCTAAGAAGGTACCAGGACCCCTCGTGGTGGCAGGACAGACTCACTAAGAAGTAAAATTCTTGATTCTAGAATTTTTAAAGGGAAATTGCAGTACTTAGTACAATGGAAGGGATATTCGTTGTCTGAGGCCACTTGAGTGAAGTCTAGCAATGTGAAAGCTGACAGACTCATTAATAGGTTCTATAAGAAACCCCCTAATAAACCGAGAGGCAATCCCTAACATGTGCTTTTGTTTACATTACAGGATTTGTCCTTTTTGTAAGGGGGGCGGATGTCAATGCTGCTAACATCGGATGTTTTTGCATTGACAACAGATGGAAGTGTAGCCATCTTTTCCCTTTTGCTTATAGAGTTAGATGATGCTGGGAGGGGGGGATATGAATGAGAGTCTAGTTAGACATAACAACACTAAACATAGAGTGAGAATCAAGGCTATTGAGCCCAGAGCTGATAAAGAATCGGGCTGGAGAGCTGGAGAGGAAGCCCATGCTTCAAGCTAACTGGGGAATGTGATTTACGACTGTTAATTGGAGGAGGGAATTGTGCTTTGATATTATGTGCCCAGGGGACGGGAATTCAGTTTTTGGCTTTGATTATGTAGTGCCGATATTATGTTACTTGAATAAAAGATTATTTAAGGTAAACAATGACTCAAAGTTCTTTGAAGTGTTTGATCTGTCGGAACCATGACAAGAGTAACATATTTGAAAAGGACCTTGGAGATATTCTAGTCCAACCTCCTGGACATGAAGGAGACCCTTCATGTCCTTCTCCCGGAAGGACTCGCAGGCAGAGAGGAACTGGTGGATGGTTGGGCCGGTGCCAATGTCGATCAGGGTATCTCCCTTGATGCCATCTGCAGCCCATCAAACCAAATGTAGAGGTTTTTGAAGCTCAGTCTGCTTTGGGTCCTTCACATCTGCTATTCCTCACACTGTTGCCTATTTTGCCCATCTAAGCTGCCTCAGAAGCACATGAAACCCTTCAAAGAGCATTGTGGAGACCACCTTACCATTTGGCAACCCCTTGTCTTCTTAGCATTCCCATGAACCTATTTCCAACCAACCTGTTTGCTCATTTCACAAGAAGAAGTACACACATGTGAAAACTTTTGTCCACAAGCCAATTGCTTGGGTTTCATTTCCATATCTGTCTGTAAACTGTTTCAAGTTCTCCCCTCTGGACTCCGCTATAGGTCATTGCATGCCAAAACAATTAGACATATAGTTTTTTCCCCATGCCATCTTTCAGTTGAACACCTAATTTCCACAGCACTGTCTTAGGCCTAAAGATATTTGCCCATGTAGTAGGCTGTATTATCTTTCTCACCTTTCTCATTTTCTCATCTTTCTCATCTTTCCTAATACCTTCTCCTATTGGTATGTGTGATTTAGCACCTGATGTTGTATCTTATGATTAATGATTGTAACTATGATCTATGATCTATGACCTATCACCTTGTTGTTTGTATGTACACTGAGAGCTATGCACCGGAGACAAATTCCTTGTGTGTCCAATCACACTTGGCCAATAAAGAATTTTACTCTACTCTACTCTACTCTACTCTACTCTACTCTACTCTACTCTACTCTACTCCACTCCACTCCACTCCACTCCACTCCACTCCACTCTATTCTATTCTATTCTATTCTAGAAAAGGTCAAATAATGTTTGTGCCTTTTGTAAGCTACTTCGACTTCGTGACTGTTTGTACCCTGAAGAGAACATCTAAGTGGTGCAGGTTATAATGAGCAAAATTGTGAATATAACAGGGAAACATATTTGGAAAGGGTCTTGGAGGTCTTCTAGTCCAACCTCCTGGACATGAAGGAGACCCTATATCATTCTGAGCAAATCTCTGTCCAATCTCTTCTTAAAAACCTCCATTGATGGTGCACCAATAACCTCTGGAGGCAAGTTCTTCCACTGGTTAATTGTTCTCACTGTTAGGAAGTTTCTCCTTAATTCCAGGTTTCTTCTCTGCTTGATTAGTTTCCAGCCAATGCTTCTTGTTTTGCCTTCTGGTACTCTGGAGAATAGGTTGACCCCCTATTCTTTGTGGCAGCCCCTCACATCTTGGAACACTGCTATCATTTCCCCCCTCGTCCTTCTTTTCTCTAGACTAGACATACCCAATTCCTGCAACTGTTCCTCATATGCTTTAATCTCCATCCCCCTAACCATCTTTGTTGCTTTTTTCTGCTCTCTTTCTGGAGTCTCAACATCTGTTTTATATTATGGCGATCAAAACTGGATGCAATATTCCAAGTGTGAATATGAATATTCCAAATGTGAATATGAACCAATGAGCTTGCGTTGTGTCTCTTGGTTCCTCCTGGCTATCTCAGATCAACAAGCGTCCCTCACCTTGAGGTTAAAATTGAGAAAGTCAACACTTACCTACGGTGAATGCCCTGTGGGCCCCTTTCAGGAAAAAGGTTACAAGTTGATCATCAACATCAAGGTTAACTTTATAATATGTTTCCAGATAATCTTTGGGAAGAAAATTCTCAGCATAGAAATCTCCCTCTGTGAAAGGCTCCTCCATCACCCCACAAACTCTTTTGCCAACTGCTGGCTGCTCCCTTCAAGCCCTGAGCTTTATAATATTTTTATCTTTGTTGGCTCTGCCCCCAGATTTCTTTTACAGATCAGATTCTCAACAAAGCAGACTATTGCATGCTGCAGCTTGATCATCTTGCCCACCTCCTGACTAGTGATTTGATGCCAGGACCTGACCTGTCCTTTCCATCTTACGCAATCAGATGTTCTCCCTTGGAAAGACCCCCTTCCTCTCTGGGAAGAGGGAAGCAAGGGGGAAGGGAGGGAGGGTCCTCTTCCCGGAGGGCAGGAAAAGAGGCATGACAGAGAAGAGGGTGTTCAGGGCCAGATGTTCAAAGAGACAGGCTCCACCTCCCCTCTCTGACCACCCTACAGATGAGAATCTCTTGTTTGCTCCTCTGTGAGACCGAGGAGCAGGTGGAAGGAAGCTTTTTTGCTCCAGAAAAGTATTGTGGTTTCCTTTTCTTCCTAAATCCTGCGCTGGAGCGCAGCATTCTAATTCTGCCAGACAGTCCAGCTTTCCAATTTTTGGATTCTGTCCAGCCATCTTCCTTTCTCTCCTTTGCAGAGAGTGATGGAGAGAAGCACGCATGCACAAACACACACACACACATACAGAATAAGAGAGAGAGATTTTTTTTCCCTTTATTCTCCTCCCCCGCACTTTAAGCTATTTCTCAACCCCTTCTTTTCTTAGCATTCTCATGAAATTATTTCCAACCCACCAGTTTGAGCCTCTCTCAGGAAGAAATGACCATGCTGACCATCTCAGATCAACAACTGTCCCTCACCTTGAGGTTAAAATTGGGAAAGCCGACACTTACCTACAGTGAATGCCCTGTGGGCCCCTTTCAAGAAAAAGGCTAGAAGCAGATCAACTCCATCATCATCAAACTTAATTTTATAATATGTTTCCAGATAGGTAGCCTGGTAGCCTGGCCCCTACCTTGTTATGCCTCTTTTTCAGCTGCTCTTCCTTGTCCTGACCTGCTCCACAAATTACGCTTCTGCAGATTGCAGCATCCTTAAAAAGTGGGGCAGCTGCCTAGTACAAGGGTGTCCGTGGGCAGCCTGAACCACGCCTAGAGGGACCTATCAAGGAGGTGGGACAATAAGCAGATAGGAAGGAGGTAAGACCAAGAGGGCTGAAGGAGGCTGCCCCCTCACCTCCCAGTGGCCAGTGGTAGCCCCTTGGATGATCTGCCTCTGCTTTGAACTGGCTCAGCATTGCCACTCATGGGGGCAGCAGAGAGAGGGGGATGAGGGGCTCTGACTTGTAGGGGAGCAGCGGCTAGAGGCACTGAGAGGGTCACCAAGTTGGAGGTAGCCAGGAAGAAGGGAGTGCCATCTCAGAATGGGTAGGGCCGAAGGCAACACAGAACAATGCATGCTCAGAGAAGCCATGTACACAGGAAACAGAGAGACACAACACAAGGGAAGCATAAACCAACACACAAACAGAGAGGCAAGATGTTACTTTATTACACACAGTACCTACTAGGAAAGGCATAGAAAAGATCACAGAAGCCACATGGTGTGTGCTTTCCCTAACTTGTATAACAGTTTCATAACAATTGTTGGGGAAATCTCTGGGTGTTTCATCAACAGTTGCCTAATATTCATGGGCTGCATTTCTGGGCAAGAAGAATGCACAGCCCCTTCGCATCTGCTACAGAAGGAGGGAAGTGGATCCTGGTCTCCTCAATTCATTTAATGACAAAGCCAGCCTGTCTCACTGCCTCTTCTATCATCTCCCTCTCGAGGTAGAGGAGAGAGAAATGGTATTGGCCAACCGTATAGTAGTGCCCTTCAAGGGATGAATTAAACAGGAGGTGCCCCCCTGGTTTCAGAAGGGAACTGATGTTCCTGAAGGCAGATCGGTAGGTGGGGATGTCTTTGCAAGCCCCATCGAAGCAAAAGGTGGAGAGCAAACAATCTGCAGGAGGAAGAACCAGCGGAGCCAAAGGGTTGGGTTGGGTCACATCGCATTTCAGGTATCGCTTGATGACTCTTTGGACCTTCTCTTCCTTCTCTGGCCATTTTTCCCTGGTGGGGAGAAGACAGGAGGAGTATGACCTGCCTACCTCCAAACCTTTGTCAACCTAGAGTTGCCCTTCTTTTTATGGATGGAAACAGGGCAGACTTCCCAAGTCTGCTGTCCTTCAAGAAAAGGAAAGCCCTTCTCTCAGCAAGAATTCCTTCTTACCTGGATTCAAATATCAGTTGGGGACCTGGAAGGTCCCAGCTTTCAGAACTTTCCCAGCCAGTAATAGAAACATTGGTCTAAGAGCCTCTCCCCACGTAGCTGCTATGGCTCTATTGCCAATATATTAATCTTGGCATCACAGATGGGGGCTATAAATAATTTCAATAAAATAATAATGAGCGATTTTGGTTATATCATGGCTTAAGTCTCTGGATCAAAGGTCGGGGTGGAAATAGATAATGGCAACCTCTGTGTCATGAAGTCTCCTCTCTGGCATTATAGGGCTGCTGTGGAAATGGTCAATTTATATGTTCAGTTAATTAAGAGTTAATTCAGTTAATTCCTGAGCAAAAGTTGGATTCTCACTGCCTTTCTACAGTTGGAACCAGCAGGAGAAGAACCACACTTTTTCTTTTCAATTTAATGGGTGAGTCCACCGGGCAATGAAAAATAAAAAAATGAAAAATGGGGAAGAACATCAAGGCCTGGAGGGTTGAATAGGCTGCTACTCATCTTTCTGAGTCCGATGCAAGAAGAAACAGAGATGGAAGCCAATGGAGGGCTTTGGCTAGAGAGACCCTGCTTAGATAGAGGTCCCACCAGGAGAGAGCACCAGGGAAATGGAGGCCCAAAGAAGACATGGACCATTGAAGAGGAGATGACCCTGCAGGTCCTTCTGAAGCACTGCAGAAGAATTAAAACAGAGACCAAGTCTGAAACAACTGGTTCTCCACTTCCCATCTGCTCAGAAGAAAATGTGCACTCGTTGGCATTTACTAGTAGAATGGACACAAAAGCTACTGAGGCACTAGTAAGCCATGCTTTCTGAAAGAGAGTCCGCTTTGGTTCTTCAATGTGGACTTTTCTGGTCTGCTCAATTATTCTCCTGTTGAGCTCCTGATTGCAAAATCTCTGCTGCTGCATTTTTATATATGGACAGATTAGGTAAAGTTGGAAGAAGTGTCCCTGATTGCCTACTTTAGCTTAGGCTAAATAAATCTTATAGTCTCAAAAACTCTCAAAGCAAAAGCTATGTTCTTCCTATACCTACTTGTCCTCCTCCAACTCACAGACATATTTCACGACAGGCATCCAGTCGAAAGCCCCAGGTTCCTTCTTCAGCCATCGCTGCACCTCCTCCCGGTTCTGGTCAGTGTAATCAGTGGCTATGATCTCCTGGAAGGACTCGCAGGCAGAGAGGAACAGGTGGATAACTGGGCCGGTGCCAATGTCGATCAGGGTATCTCCCTTGATGCCATCTGAAGACCATCAAACCAAATGCAGAGTTTTTGAAGCTCAGTCTGCTTTGGGTTCTTCACATCTGCTATTCCTCACACTGTTGCCTATTTTGCCCATCTAAACTTCCCCAGAAGCACCAGAAGCCCTTCAAAGAGCATCCTAGAGGCCACCTGATCACCTGGCAACCCCTTCTCCTCTTAGCATCCCCATGAACCTATTTCCAACCCACCTGTTATCCCCTATCTCATGAAGAAGTCACTTGTGAAAGAGATTGGGGAAACATTTGTCCACAAGCCAATAGATTGGGTTTCATTTCCACATTAGTCTGCAGAAAAAGCCAAGTAATGTTTGTCAACATTTTGGCATCTGCCTTTTGTAAGAGGCTTCCAGTTTGTGGCTGTTATCCCGGAGAGGACATCTAAGTGGTGCAGGTTACGATCAGCAGAATTATGAAGATGAAGGGATAACTTTGAGATCTGCCTCTCGGCTCCTCCAGACCATCTCAGATCAACGTCCCTGCCTTGAGGTTAAAATTGGGGAAGTCAGCACTTACCTAGGGTGAATGTCCTGTGGGCCCCTTTCAGGAAAAAGCTTAGATGCTTATTCACTCCATTATCATCTAAGTTAAATTTATAATAGGTTTGCAGATAGTCTTTGGAAACAAAATGCTCAGAGTAGAAATCTCTGTGTGTGAAAGGCTCCTCCATCATCCCACAAACTCTTACCAACCGCTGGTTGATACTTTCAAACTCTGAGCATTTTTATATTTTTATGTTTGTTAGCGCCACCCCCTAATTTCTTTTTTTTTTTTTTAATTTTTTTATTATTTTCAAGTATAACAAAATATAAACATAAACTTGATGCATATAAATACAAGACATCAATACACAAAAGAAAAGATACTTTACGGGTGATCCCGGCTGCCCCCTCTCTGCTTCCCCCTCTTTCACCTACCAAGCCTTCCTCCCTCTAGACTCTCAACCACTCCACCTTCCTCCTTCCACTCCCTACTTCCCAACCTCTTTCTCAAGCACCAACCAGAAGCAGTTTGGGGTAACAGCCAGGATCATCCTCAT